CACTTCTCAACAATTATTTGTTATTATTACAGTTTAACATTATAAAATTAACAAAAATAATATAAAACTCATATTCTGGCGAAATAGCCACATGGCAGCCGCAAACCGTATATTCCCTTCCTGTTCTCCTGCCCGATTTTTGCATTCTTTCCAAAAATCAGGACTTTTTAAAAACGGCACAGGACATGGGACAAATTGTTAAAAAGGATGTCTGGTCAGCCTATGTTAGTGGGAAGAGCATAGGGCTGGTCCCTGGGTCCATCTGGAGATGACAGCCTGCATCTGTGGACTCATCAAGCTGACACAAGGAACGGGGACCCCACTGAGCTGAGGAAGTATGGCCAGAGGGGCCACCTGGGGAGGGTGAGTGCCCCTTAAATGCTTTTGCTGGAGCCTGGGAACTAGCCTGTGGTGGTCAGCCACAGCAGGAGCCCAGCTTGGGAAGCTTTTGCCCAGTCACACCACAGGAGACCCACTGCCACCCACAGAGGTGGGGGCCTGGCAGCCACACACGTGTGTGTGAGCACATGCTGGGGACATCTTTCAGGAGGGCAAGAACTCAGCACAAAAAGACAGGCAAGGCAAAGTCTTTGTCTTTGAGAAGTTTTCCATTCGAGGGGTCTTTGAAACGTCAAGTGCAACTTTAATGTGAGTCTTTGGGACCCAGGGCTCGGCCCTCCCTGCTCTCCTCATTCCCAGAGCTCAGGGGCTGGTTGGCCCATCTCTTTGAGTGTCTTCTTAGCCTTCCTCCTTGATGGCTGGGCTCTGGGGGTTCTGCATTTATAGCTAACTTTAAATGCTGATGAGAGAACCAATTCTCTGTGTTCTAGGAGAATTCCGAAATAATCCATCCCTGCCGCAGCATCTAAGCCTCCCTTGGGAAGATGACTGTGAACACGGGAAGGAGATTATGAAAGGACTGGGCTTCCCCTGAGGTATGAGGCGTTGGGTGTGAGCCTTGGCAGGCGGCAGGGTCCTGGCAACATTTCCTTCTCCCACTGACCCTTCTCAGCTGGTGTGTGTAGACCCTGTGCTCACCCAGGTCACCCCTGGGACATTTGGGTGTGAATCCTGAGGCAGCCTGGACACAGGCGGGCAGCATGTGACTGAGCCATGTCATGTGGGGTCTGGGGCCTGCTGCCTGCTGCCCGGGAACCCTGTGTGGGCCAGGCTTTCCCTTGCACTCTCTCCCTCTGTAAGGTAGATTTGTGCCCCATCTCCCGTTTAGCACCCCAGTCCCTCCCTTCCAGGCTGGAGCTGAACTGCTGCAGGTCTGTCCTCAGCCTGGCCTGGCTCTTGCTGACCCGGAACTTCCCTGGGCTGAGCATCTAAACCCACAGTCTATCTCACTGGATTGTTGAGAGGATTCGAGACAAGGCACAGAGAAGCTTAAAAATGGCAACTACTGTAATTACCAGGAACAGGGTCACTTACTGGTGATTCACTC